AATACTTCAATATCCTTAAATATCCAACCCACACGGCAGAGCCTGGCAAGCTATCCGTGATCTATGCCAAATAGACCAAATTGATATGCCAAATCCAGTAATAAATGGATCTCATTCCCCTAGCCCTGATTATGCAGAGTCGAGAAGGATATGGAAGGAGAAGCTGATAAAACACCAAGGCAGACATGGGCTGCCAAAACGCAGAAAAACAAAAATGATTGTCTGTACTTTTAATGCTCGTACGCTGGCATCTGCTGCATCCATTGAAGACCTTATGGTACAAGCATGAAAGATCAAGTACGACATCATTGGTCTGACCGAAACGAGAAGACATCAATCCCATCATGCTGTTTTCGACACTGGAGAAGAACTGTTCCTTGGAACATGTGATAAAAGAGGCGTCGGTGGTGTCGGTATCCTTGTCAACACAAACTTAGTCACAAGCATTGATTCATTTGAATGCCTAACAACCCGAATTGGACGATTACACTTGAATAAATGTGGCTCACTACCGGCAGTTTCTATCTTTGTTGTCTACGCACCAACATCCAGTTATGGTGAAAAAGAAACTGAGAAATTCTACATGGAGCTGGAGAAATTCTATAAAGAAGATCACACCTTCTACAAGATCATTGTTGGTGATTTTAATGCCAAGATAGGACCAAGAAGATCAGTCGATGAACTCCACATCGGAACCCATGGCCTGGAATGGAACGAACAAGGTGACAGACTGTCTGAGTTCATCATGTCAACCAAAACCTTCCATGGTAACTCACAATTCCAAAAGGCTGAATCTAAACGTTGGACATGGGAGTCTCCCGATGGACGGTTCCACAATGAAATAGACCACATCATATTCAATCGGCGGTTTTGCCTAACCGATGTTGCTGTTGTCCCAAAATTCCAAACGGGATCAGACCACCGTCTTCTTCGTGCAAAATTCTACCTCACAGAACGAGGAGAAAAGAATGCAAGGTTTAAGAAGAAGACTCCCAGAACAACCACCAACTGGGAACTCTTTGGCTCTGTTGCAGCAACATGGGAAGATGCCGTCATTGACAACATTGATGAGGAATACGATCGAATGATTCAGCACCTCCATGATTGTGCAAGGAATGTCAAGAGAGAGATAACCACAAAAAACCGTCTTTCTTCGAACACTCTTGAACTTATTCGCCAACGTGGCGTGGCACGTGCCTCAGGCAACCACAAGCAAACGTCCGAACTGGCAAAACAGTGCAGAAAAGCCATCAAGGATGACCTCAAAAACAGGAGAGCAGCAGTACTGGTAGATGCAGCAGAAGCTGGGAAAAACATTCGTAATGCCCGCCTGTCCTTCACCAACTACAAAACCAAGATGACTGCCCTCCGACATCATGATGGATCTATCACATCTTCCAGAAGGGCAATGGAGAAGATTATTCATGACTTCTACTCAGATCTCTTTAATAGCCACATCCACTTGCCCACATACCACATACCACATGATGGATATGTCGTTCCCAATGTTCTCCCTTCCGAAATCCAACATGCCATCTCGTCGGTAAAGAAACAAAGAGCACCTGGCCCAGACAAGATCAGACCTGAACACCTGAAGAACTTACCATCAGTACTCATCAATACATTAGCTCGACTCTTCACACGCTACCTGTCTGGATGCAAGGTTCCATCCCAATGGAAAACCAGCAAGACTGTACTACTATACAAGAAAGGAGACATCCACGACATTGGCAACTATCGCCCAATCTGCCTATTGTCTGTCATCTACAAACTATTCACTCGAGTCATCCTGAATAGGATTAGCAGAACACTAGATGAAGGACAACCATGTGAACAAGCTGGATTCCGAAAAGGATTCAGTACCATCGACCATATCCACACAATAACCAAGCTCATTGAGGTATCTCGGGAGTTCAAGATGCCGCTCTGTCTAACGTTCATTGATTTAAAGAAGGCCTTTGATTCTGTTGAGACGGAAGCGGTCATGGAAGCCCTAGCCAATCAGGGCGTACAAACTCAATACATCAGGATCCTTCGTGAGCTCTATTGCGGATTCACTACCAAGATCTCACCATTCTACAAAGAAGTAATCATCCATATCAAGAGAGGGGTTCGGCAGGGTGATACCATTTCACCAAAACTCTTCAGTGCCACCCTCGAGAACATCATGCGACGACTGGAATGGGAAAACATGGGAGTGAAGATAGATGGTCGGCAACTACACCACCTCCACTTTGCTGATGACATCGTTCTAATAACACCAAACATCAGCCAAGCAGCACAAATGCTTGCGGACTTTGACCGTGAGTGTGGAAAGGTTGGACTACAGCTGAATCTTACGAAGACAATGTTTATGAGAAACAGCCTTGTTCCTGACGCTCCATTCGCTCTCAACGGAACCACCATCTCCGAATGCAACAGTTATATATACTTAGGTCGAGAAATCAACATGATGAATGACCTGGCACCTGAGTTACGCAGGAGGAAGAGAGCGGCTTGGAATGCCTTCAAGAGCATTGAAGAAATAACTAAAAGGACAAAGAACCTCCAACTACGAGCACATCTCTTTGATTCCACTATTCTTCCTGCATTAACATATGCCTCAGAGACCTGGACCCTACGAAAACAGGATGAGAACACTGTTCGGGTCTCTCAAAGAGGAATCGAAAGAACTATGCTTGGAATATCACGATTCACTCAAATGAGAGATAGAATCCGGAGTTCTGATCTTCGTCAACGCTCAAGAATCAGAGACGCTGTCTCATTTGCCAAGACACCAAAAATCAGATGGGCTGGACACGTAATGAGGTTTACAGACAACCGCTGGACTAGAGCCATTACTGATTGGATTCCACGAGACATCAAAAGATCACGTGGACGCCCACCTATAAGATGGTCAGACTTCTTCGTCAAGACCCTAAATGATCGGTTTGAGGCTCTACATGTTCCTAAAACGAACAGATACCATTGGGCTACGCTAGCACGCAACCGTGATGAATGGAGACGTTACTGGCACCCGCTCAAATAAATCGATGAATAACGGGGATTAAGTGATTAAGTGATTAAGTGACTTCTCTTATTAAATTATTAATAAGTGAATATAATGATCAGTGGTGTTAAGGAATGATAGAACTAAATATCCAAACCACAGAGTCAAAAATACTAAAATTGCAAGATCCAAATTTAACCAAATTTAAAAGGTGCCTGTCAAGGTGGCCGGCTGGGGCCAGGGTGGGTGGGTAGGAGAGGAACTCTGGGGACACTGGCGGAGGGAAGTTGACACTGGTGGTGGGATGAGTGATGGAACAATGTATGTCAAAGACCCAACTACGAATAACTTTGTAACTCACGGTGGTCTAATAAAATAAAATTTTGAAAAACAAAACAAAACAAAAGCAAATATATATACATATATAATAAGGTTTCCAAATGATTCGAAAAATTGTGGAGGGGCTGGGAGTAATATAGCACAGAGGGTAGGGTGTTTGCCTTGCACGCAGTCAACCCTGGTTTGATTCCCAGCATCCCATATGGTCCCTTGAGCACTGCCAGGAGTAATTCCTGAGTGCAGAGCCAGGAGAAAACACTGTGCATTGTCAGGTGTGACCAAAAAAGCAAAAAAAAAATGTGGAAAAGGGGCCAGAGCGATAGTACAGTGGGCAGGGTGCCTGTCTTATATACTGCTAATCTCGGTTCAATCCCCATAAGGGCCCCAAGCATGCCAGGAGTGTCCATAAATCCAGAGTCAGGAGTAAGCCCTCGGCACCACTGGGTATGCCCCCACCCCTCATCCCCCCAAAAAAAGCTAAAAAAAATTGTGAAAAAGATGTTCAAGCTCACAAAAGTCTTTAAAATGTGGGTTAAAATTTAAATGAGGGGACTGTGGAGATAGCTCACAAAGCACATACTTTGTGGCAGGGATACTGGGGCTCAGTTTCTGGTGCCACGTGGCCCCCTGAAAAATGCCAGGAGCAACCTCCAGGCACCAAGGCAGGGTCAACCCTGAAGCACCAAGGAGTATGCCACCTCTATCCCCCAGGAGAAACATCCTTCATCAAAATAACAAAAGTTCGGGTGGGCTGGGAGATCGTAGAGGTTAGGGTGTATGTTCAGGACTCAGTTTGATCATCAGGTCCACACAATCCCTGAGCATCAGGGTGCAGCCTTGGAGAGTACACCAGGCATCAACAGGTTGGCTCTGGGGGCCTCTGGCACCAATGCTCCTAACAGTACAGCATCCTCAGGCCTAACCACTGAACTGTCCTCCCTGGATGGCTGAGAATCTCTGGGAGCAGCGACCAGACCCTCTAAGCACTGCTTGGGCAGTCCCCTCAAAAATTTAAAAAAAAAATATTTAAATACCGTGTTGACAAATGTCTGAAAAAAACAGCACTCTCCTACATTGATTGTAATTGAACTTTTTGGAAGGCAAGTCGAAGGCATCTATTAAGGTCCAAAGTGGCTGGAGATGTTGTACAGGGTCAGTGGTTGCCTTATATGTGCCGGTCCTGGTTCTGTCCCAGGCCTGCACACAGGACACACAGCCCAGGAGGCCTCTGGAGCACTGCATCATGCACCCAACTCCAGTCTGGTTGGCTGAGAGTTGCTGAGGGAGCCCCCAGACCTTCTCACACTGTCTGGGAGCCCATTCCCCACGCCCCATGCAGTGTAAAGTGGCCCAGGGAGATAACTCAGAGGGCTGGAGCACATGGTTGGCTTAGAGGAGACCCAGGTTCCATTCTCAGCACCACTTTGTGACCCATTCCCCCAAGTGCTGCCGAGAGTGATTCCCAAACCAAGCCAGGACTAACTCCTGAGTATCACAGGGCACATCCTGAAGGCCTCTGAGCACCTCTGGGCCACAAGACCTGAGGACGTATGGTTTCCTGAGGTGGCTGCTACCCGCTGCTGGGGAGGATCCTCCAAGTACCCCAGGTGGCCCCCAATCCTGCCCCAGAATGTTTCCACGAAACAAGCATGGTAACCCTGGCTGTGCATACCTTGCGGCCAGCTCCTCCGGCAACCGCTTTGGAACCAACGCTTTGTCCAGCTGAATCTCTAGCACAATGTATGTCCCCGCTTCTACATATTGCTGTGAAGACATTTTTCTCTAATTATTTTTTCCAGAAAAAAGACCAGATATTTATAAGAAGCATTTTAATAACATAACAGAGTAAGAAAAAGTATATACAGAGAGTGAGGTCAACTGCTAAAACATTTTTTACATAGGAAAATAATCAAAAGTAAAACAGCAAAGTAGGCTTATTTCTTGAAGGAAAATTCATCCCCTCACTGAAGCCCTGTTTAATTTGTTTAGTACTTTGCTTCAAGCTGTTGTAAAATGAATGCCATTCTTTTTACACCAAGCAATCTTGCATGAAAACAAAAACAAAAACAAAAACAAAACTCCACCACACTCAGACATTCTTACACAGAGCTCTTTCAACACCAGCCACTTGTCAACATCTAAAATGTGTCCAACATTATTGCAGCTGTCATTTCTCCTAGATCAACCTTTCTTTTGCACTGGGGAGAACTTTTGCAGTTTTCTTAATGATTCTGCTATACTTCCAGAACCATGTTTGAAACCTGAGTTACCTTTAATTTCTCTTCCTTGATACTCACAAATTTTTCTATGATCACACATCTCGCCTCTGTAGGTTTCTGACTTTTTCTGCTACAACCCTTCTTAGAATCAAGCTCACCAACACTCATCTCTTTACAGTGAGAGCCCCGCGTACACCACCCCACCCTTTTCACGTCCTTGCGAGTGTCTGCACTAAAACACACAGGTCTTATTTCTATGTGACTTAGAAACCTTTGCTATGAGTTTCCAGTGAGAGTCTATGTTCCCTCATCACCGACAGAAGAAAGTTTAAGCTTTTCAGCAAGTCTTCAAAGCCTATATACAACATCGCCCAGACTGTCCTTTTTTTTTTTTTGACCAAACATTTTTTTTAATTATTATTAGTGAAAAACCATGAGGTACAGTTGTAGATTTACAATTTTTTGTGCTTGGGTTTCGATTATACAATGATCAGATACCCATCCCTCCACCAGTGCCCATTTTCCACCACCATGGATAATATCCCTCCCACGCCCATCCCCCCATCCCACCCTGCCTCTGTGGCAGGGCAATCCCTTGTGTTCTCCCTCTCCTTTTGGGTGTTGTCAGACTGTCCTTTTGTGCTTTGTTCTACAACTTGTCTTTTTCATACCTCTACCAGATTGAATTCATCAGCGTACCCGGAACTCTGCTACCTTCTTTCTGCCTTGGCTCCAGCTGCCCTCTGCTTTGAAATGCCTCTACCTCCACCTTCGGTCAGCAAAAGACTCTCTTCATCTTTCACTTCTCAGCTCAGATGCCACCTTTTCCAGGAGGCCTTGCAGGATTGCCCACACTGGTAGCTCTTAATCTGTCTCTTCTGAGCCCACAGAGCACTTTCTTTGTTCCTCTAGACAAGCATTCATCAGAATTCTGTATCATGGTGAGTTATGCGTCAGTCTGTTTCCCCTGTCACACTGGTGAGTGTCAGAAGGACAGATGAATAAAAGCTAAGAACTTTGTATCTTTACTGTATCTTTGCATTCTCAGTAGTAGCTATATAGCACTATTAATTAAAGTCATGAATTTTTAATGCTCTAAATAACCTGAAAGCTAACCTGAAAAATGAATTAGTACCTATTCGTTTTAGAGTGTTTCATTAAGAAAAAAAAAAAACTCCTCGAGGTCATAGAGTGATCATGGCAAACCCTGGATGGGAACTCAGACAATGAGCAACTGTCAGGGCATTTTCACCACACCGTACTTTCTTGCGCATTACAGGGATGAGGAATTTAAACTTGATTTTTTAACTCCTCATGCATAGTTACCTGTCCTTCTGGATTGTGGGACAGAGAGGTTTCAACTTCCAAAGGAGTGTCTGAGCTCTGAGATTTTATACTAGGTGCCTAATGAAAGAAAATAAAACACAATTTATTTATTTATTATTATATTTTTTCCTCCGCCCCTCTTGGAGAGCCCGGCAAGCTACTGAGAGTATCTCGCCTGCACAGCAAAGCCTGGCAAGTTCCCCGTGACGTATTCGATATGCCAAACACAGTAACAACAAGTCTCACAATGGAGACATTACTGGGTCCGCTCGAGCAAATCGATGAACGACGGGAGGACAGTGGACAGTGGACATGTTTTTATCAAGTTGCTCAGAGTATTTGATTAGATTTAATATTTGAACACCAATCTCACCACCATTACACCCTCTCGCCACCACATTTCCATCCCAATCTCCAGACCTTGCCCCCAAAGCAAAACAGAAATAATTTATTTTGTATTGCTTGTTACGAATAATCCACTAAAAATGAGACAAAAATGTAAAACATATTTCAAAAGTTGAATTCTTAGGAGGGCCAGGCGGACTGGTCTATGGTTGGAAATTTGCCACAAGTAGTGTATGAGGGTATTGTGGTGGGGATGAGTAGAAGTGCAGTTATGACAGAGAAGAGAAAAAAGGGACCACTGTGATAGTAATAGTTGGAAATGATCACTCTGGACAAGAACTGAGTGCTGAAAGGGGGTAAAGTGATACACATGACAACCTTTCAGTACCTGTATTACAAACCACAATGCCTAAAGCAGGGTATCTGGTGGAGAGAGAGGGTTCAGGGGTAGAACTGTCTTCCATAGAGGCAGGCTGGGGTGTCGGGATACAGGAGGGAAATTGGGGACACTGGTGGTGGGAAATGTACACTGGAAAAGAGACAGGTGTTGTGACATTATATGACTGAAACCCAATCATGAACAACTTTGTAACTGTGAATCTCAGGGTGATCCAATAAAAAAGGGGGGGGGGAATTGAATTCTTACATGGTCTTCAAGTGTTTGGTAGGAAGTAGGACCATTATGTGCATCAAAATGCATACCAAGGCCAGAGATCACTGAAAGAGTGGAGCACATGCCTGGCACGTACAAGCCCCTTCAACTGATGCCCCACACCAAATGACCCCCTGGCACATGGGGCTGGCCCAAGCGGCCAGAAGTGCTGTCAGGCCACATCACTGGGCCAGAGCAGCCCACTGGCAGGCCTGTGCTACCAGATAGGAGTGGCTCTTGGACTCTGAGTACTGCTGGGGACCCCCATGCCCAGTAAACAAATGAAATTAAAACTAAACACAAACTAATCACCAAATAAGAAATCCATGTAAACTTCTGGAATGCAACAAATCCAGCCAAACAACCTCCTTCTCAGAAACCTACCCCATCCACGAGCCTCAGCTTTCCTTCCACATCCCTTTCTTTGACTGACTTATCTTCTTTTGGGATCTTTGCAACAGTTGGTTTAACCACTGGAGAATTAACACCTCCGGCTTTATTATTCTGAATCAAATAATGAGCAGCATCCCGAAACAAGCTTGATACACACTTAGTCTGCAAAGAAATCCCAAAACGTAATCAATCAGTGGGGAACAAAATGAACTCAAAGTAAGTTATTCTCAAGAGAGTTAATCTTTAAAATAGTGTTGTTTCCCACACAGCATAAATACCATCTGTACTTCTATGTTCATTGCAGCACCATTCACAATAGCCAGAATCTGGAAACAACCTGAGTGCCCAAGAACAGATGTATGGATAAAGAAAATATGATACATCTACACAGTTGAATACTACACAGCTGTTATGTGTAGGTCATGAAATTTACCTATAAATGGATAGACTTGAAGGGTATCATGCTGAATGAAACAAGTCAGAAGGTGAGGGACAGATATAGAATGATTGCATTCACTTGTGGGATATAAAAAAAGTATGAAACTAATATCCAAGGCCAGGCAAAATGGGCCAGGAAAAATGGTCAATCGTTGGTCAAAGGTGTGGGAGTGGAGGGTAGTTAAGATACAGGAGGATCCACTAGGACAATACTAGTTGGAAATGATCACTCTGGACAAGAACTGAGTGTTGAAAGCAGGCAAAGGGATAGAGATGGTGACCTTTCAGCATCTGTATCGCAAACCATAAAGCCTAAAATGAGAGAGAGAGAGAAAGAGAGAGAGAAAGAGAGAGATAAAGAGAGAGAGAGCGAGAGACAAGAGAGGTGCCTACCATAGAGGCAGGCTGGGGTGAGGGGTGGCTTAAAGGGGTGGGAGGAAAACTGGGGACATTGGTGCTGGGAAATTATACTGGTGGAGGTATGTGTGTTGGAACATTGTATGACTGAAATAATCATGAATAACTTTGTAATGCTCTATCTCACAGTGATTCAATTTTTAAAATGGTATTGTTTTCTAAATAATTTAAACATTGTGAACCCATTGAGACGCAATGTGAAAAATGCATCATATTGTCATGTTAGTTGGACGGGTAAAGTATCAGAGCAAGTCAGGTCTATCCTATTATGTAAATTATTACAAAACCTTTTTACTTAGCTTGATTTTGGTGTTTCATTAACTGTTATTACCAGAAAGTTTTTCATCTTTGACATATACAATATCACATAACTTTAAATGGTAGAACTTATCTCTATATAAGTAATAGCATCTAATTTTACTGGTACATCTCTGTGCTTGAGGGTCACTACCAGTGGTGCTCAGGAAAGTGTGGGGGGCTGGGGATAAAATGGGGGAGTCCACATGCAAGGAAGGCACCTTAACTAGTAAACTATAAATATACACTTAATTTTAATTATTTTTGTTTTAGGGGCCACATCTGGCCATGCTCAGGGCTTCCTCTTGGCTCTGCACTCAGGGATCACTCCTGGCAGGGCTCTGGGGACCATATGGGATCCCGGGGATTGAATCTGGGTCAGCTGCATGCAAAGCAATTAAAGTGCCTGTAGCCCACTGTGCTGTCTCTCTGATCCCTTTAAGTATACATTTTAGAAACTATATGTCAATTGTGCCTCAATGAAACTACAAAAAGATAGCCCAACAATATTAAGGAAGCTGTAAATATATCTGATAAGCTGTAAATGATTGATGTCATTCATAATCCTCCCCTTTCTACAATATTTTGTATTTCATATTCTTTTTTATTTTGTTTTTTGGATCACACCCAGTGATGCTCAGTGCTTCCTCCTGGCTCTGGCTTGTGGATCAGTAATGGTTCTAAAATTAAGAAATATCTGTTGTGGACTAGGAATATGGCTCAGTGAGAAAATGCATGCCTCATATTGGTGACATCCTGGATTTGATCCCCGACATGGCAAAAATAAAAGGAAGAAAGCTGTCTTACTATCAACAAAGCAGAAATATGTTTTTTCCATGGTTGAAGTTTTGAAAGCTTTACTTTCTGCTAAGAAACAACATAATAAAATTAAATGACTCCCAATATCCAGGAAGTCACACATAACATGTGTCACGGCCTTATAAACATTTCCACAGGGGACACCCTTTACCCAAGAGGCATAAGACAGGCAAGGAGTGCCAGAAACACCTTGGATTCAAAATATTCCTTACTGAGAGAGAAATATATATATATATATATAGAGAGAGAGAGAGAGAGAAAGAGAGGGGGGAGAGCAGGATAGGGAAGGAGTGAGAGAGAGAGAGAGATAAATGCCTGCTATAGAAGAGTTGGGGGGTCATTGGTTGCTGAGAAATGCACATTGGTGGAGGGATGGGTCTTGGGACATTGTATGACCGAAATCTAATTATAAACAACTTCATAATGGGCTATCTCATGGTGGTTCAATAAAAAATTAATTAAATATTCCTTATTTTAAATTTTTGCTTACTGCATGTTCAGAAACCTTTCACTGTCACCAAATTTTCATAACCCCCACATTAAATTATTCAGCCCCATATAGGACTTCAATCCACGTTTCAAGAAGCTACATATGCTCATGACTGCTATAGATAAAGTACATTCGTCACTGCACTATAATAGAAAGAAACATATAGTTTATAGACAGATTTTAATATTTTAACCCCTAAAAATGGAAGGAACCATAAGTTTCTGCACACTGAACACAATAAAATTATTTTTTTTAATTTCTAAAATCTTATTAAAGCACCGTGATTTACAAAGTTCTTCCTAGTTGAGAACTAGGAAGAACACACAATGTTGCAGCACTGATCCCACCACCTGTGTCAATCTCCTTCACCAGTGTTCCAGGGTCCCTTCCATATCAACACACAAAAATTTTTAAGTGCACAAAAGGTTTCATCTTCAACTTTAGTGAGTTAAAAATGAAATATAACAAACTGCATGGTTGAAGTATACAATTTAACTTGTACTGACATATGTACATGTGCAAAACCATGCCTGCAATCAAGCAAAAATTTCTATCATCCATTATGCTTTCCTCATTTTCCTTTTGTAATCCTTTACCCATGTTCCCAACCACCAACTGATCTGCATTCTAGTGCTACAGATATTTTTCTTAGAATTACATTTATATGTAATTCTTTCTTTTCCCCTTATTGTCATCTGAGCATGACCCACTGTTAGTGCCAGGCTCACACACTTGTTGACAGAGCTTACACACCTGGCGGCAGTGTGCTGGAGGTTGCACACTTATGGTGACCCTGGGGATCATAAAGCAGTGTCAGGGATAACATTTGGGTGATGTTCATACTTTCACAGGAATTACTCTTTCGCCGAGTCACACCCCAGTCGTCCCTGGGATTATATGTAAGAAGGAGCATGCAAGGAGCTGGAACAATAGCACAGCGGGTAGGGCGTTTGCCTTGCATGTGGCCAACCCAGGTTCGATTCCCAGCATCCCATATGGTCCCCTGAGCACCGCCAGGAGTAATTTCTGAGTACAGAGCCAGGAGTAACCTCTGTGCATCGCTGGGTGTGACCCAAAAAGAAAAAAAAAGAGAAGGAGCATGCAGTGGGTACTCTCTTTGATGCTCCCTTTCACTTAGTCTAAGCAAGTTGAGATTCGTCCATGTTATACATATTAATAGTTAATTCCTTTTACTGCTAAGTAGTTTCTACTGTGTAGCAATGTCTCCAAGTTTGCATTCTCTATTCATCTGTTGCTGGAGAACTGAGTTGTTTGCAGTGTTTGGTTTTTAATCATTCTAAAGTTTTAATGTCTAATCACAAAATAACTCAAAGGCTCTATTTAACCTTCCACTATACCAACTGTCTTCAAACATCATCTGCAAAGTTGTGTACGTTAACAATGCAGGTAAACACATTATAAGTGAGCTGTGAGAAAGATGCCTTCTCAATCCCCTTCTCTTACCTTCTCATAGACTGTACTGTCTAGGTAAGGGTAAACACGAAAAGCACCCCGGATCCTCTTCACGCCTGGATACAGCAACGGAACCATATTAACATAAGCTACACCATGAAATGAAAGTTGACTTTCCTCTTCAGACTAAAGGGAGAAAGACAGAGTTTTTAGTGCTACCAAGCCAGGGCAAAAGGCATGGGGGGTTGTGGCTGGGAGTTTAGCTCGTGTGGTTGGGTGTATGCCCAGCACATGCAAGACCCTGAGCTCAGTCCCCAGCACCACATGATCCTTCCTCTCAAGGATGGATGGACGCAGCTCCAGGGGCCAGTTGTGACCCCTCGTCTAGAAACAAGGAAAGGAGCTCCGACTCAACCCATTCACATACTTAGCTTTAGTAACTAGATGTGCGACTTCGTTACATTACTTTAGGTTAGTTAAGCAAACAGTTAAATAAACTTCTTTATCTTCAAGATGAGCTTATTAATAGCATATCACTGAGATAATACATACAAGCAGCATTAATGAACAGTAAAGGCAACCATTCGATAGTTAATAAATACTCAAGTTAATTGATGATATTTCACTTTGTTACTTCTTAGGAAAAAGTGAAGATTTATTTTAAAAAAAAGAAACAATAGCAAAAAACACAATTTTAAAGGACTTAGAAACTGGCTTTTAGTTCTACTTCATAGATTCATATAAATGAAAGGGAACTTTTCCTTCTACTAAAACAGATCCCACAATACATATATGACAGTACATGAGGAATATATGGATAAACCTTCAGATTCACAAACAAACCCCAAATCAGAGCACATAACATAAAACACAAAGACATGGTACATGAGAAGATAGAAATCTCCTTATAAAAATGTTTACACTTCTAGAACTTAGTTGCCCAAGTTAGAACTTCCTCCCTGAACACAAAGAAATGGACAGGTTAACAAACTCAACAAAGGTTTCCCAGCTGTCTCTGGTACAGAGAAAGAGACGTGAACACTCCCATTTGGGGGGGAGGGGTCCCATAATTTTTAATTAAAATTTTTTTTGGAGTCACCATGAGATAAAGAGTTACAAAGCTGATCATGGTCGGGCTTCAGTCATACAGTGTTCTAACACCCATCCCTCCACCAGTGTACATTTCCCACCAACAATGTCCCCAGTTTCCCCCCACCACCCTCCCCACAGCCTGTCTTTATGACAGACACTTTCCTTCTGTCTGTCTCTCTGGGTCCCTATCTCTCTCCCTTTTGGGGCATTATGGTTTGCAATACAAGTACTGAGAGGTATCATAATTGTTCCTTAACCTATTTTCAACACACAGTTTGTATCCAGAGTGATCATTTCCAACCATCTTTGTCATGTGGAAACAACCCAAGTGCCCAAGAACAGATGACTGATTAAAGAAACTATGGTACATCTACACAATGGAATACTATGCAGCTGTTGGGAAAAAAATGAAGTTATGAAATTTGCTTATAAGTGGATGACATGGAGAATATCATGCTGAGTGAAAATGAGTCAGAAGGAGAGGAACATATATAGAATAATTGAACTCATCTGTGGGACATATATATATATATATATATATATACACATAATATCATACCAATACCCAAGGACAGTAGCACCAAGGGCCAGGAGGATTGGTCCATGGTTGGAAGCCTGCCTCAAAACTCCCTTTGTTCAGCAGGGAAGAGTTGTGGCAAAGAGAATGTTGGCTGACACACACAGCTCTGGTGGCTGCAGAGGTGACTGTGTGGTTAGCAAAGGATTAGGGCAGGGACTGGAATAATATCACAGTGGGCAGGGCATTTTTCTTGCACAGGGCCAATCCAGGTTCAATACCTGGCATCCCACATGGTCCCTTGAACACCACCAGGAATAATTCCTGATTGCAGATTCATGAGTAACCCTTGAATATCTGTGGATAGCACCGTAGCACTGTCCTGTCGTTCATCGATTTGCTCAAGCAGGCACCAGTAATGTCTCCATTGTGAGACTTGTTGTTACTGTTTTTTGGCATATTGAATATGCCACAGAAGCTTGCCAGGCTCTGCTGTGTGGCGAGATACTCTCGGTAGCTTGTTGGGCTCTCTGAGAGGGACAAGAGTATCTGTGGGTGTGGCCCAAAAACCAAAACCAAAACCAACTAAAAAAGATGCAAAGTCAGATGTAGAAAGGTAAATAATCCAAACTTTCCAGAAGATCCTCCTCTTTTTATTCCCAGATTCTACTATCCTAGCGAGGGGGAACCCCTTCCTCTTTTTTGAGTCAGTGAGTCAAACACTTTTGAAAAGAATCCTTGAAAAGACATCCTCATGAAGTCTGAATTTGTCATGTTTAATCACTTTTACCAGATCTTAAAACAAATAATTTTAAATATCTTGGACTTAGGTGAGGACAATTCTTCTTCCCAGAAGAGATTGATGCATTCTTATTTAATTTTAAATTCAGCTCTTAATTTCTTTTGTGCCAATTTCAGTCTTATTATTGGTAAAATTATAACAAAGAACTAAAGAGAAATAAAGTATTTTCGAATAAAGTCTAGATAATTAAAACAAAAAATGTTTTTGTTTTTTGTTTTTGGAACCACACTTGGCAATGGTCAGGGGTTACTTCTGGCTCTGCGATCAGGAATTACTCCTGGTGGTACTTAGGGGACCATATGGGATGCCAGAGAGAGAACCTAGTTTAACTGTACAAAGCAAGTGTTCTCCCTATCTGCTGTACTGTCGCTCCAGCCCCCAATGTTAAAGTAATTTTTCATATGGAAAGCAAGGGTGATCAGTCATCCTGATTTGCCAGGGATAGGGAAATTTCATGAGACTTAAGTCTTGAAGCATTAATCCAAGAAACTATGGGCAGCTGAGGATAGTTCGGTCACCCCATGTTAATACAGCTTGTCAATTCAGTTACCTTTGAGACGAGAACCTGAAGCTGAGGGAAAGTTGCCCAAAGGCCTGGAGTGCATGTTTGCACACAGGAGTCCTCAGTTGGACCTCAAGGCCAGCAGGAACAAGCCCAAGCATTCAGCTAGTAGTGGATGCTGAACATTGTGTGCATGGCCCCCAAACAAACAAACATCAACACACAAAACACAGCAGATTTAAAGCAGAATAATAGGCTAGCTCTAAAAATTCCTTTTATCAGTATTTTATAGGAGTCACTCATAGCAAAACTCTGGGACCCTGAGGCCCCTCCAAAGGATACTGGGAAGTCAGGTGGGTACCTTGAGGTATCAGAGATCCAACTAAGACCTCACACATGCTGCATTTGTGAAAGCTCCCCAGATTTTTATGCAGCTGCTTTACCTTCTCAAACTTGGCAGCTTTCCCTTTGGGGACAACAACCACAGGAATTCTTGTGATTTCTACGGGCCATAATCGACAATCAGCAATTCGCTTCTGAAAACTGCAAACCAAGAATCAACCAATTAGAAATATACACAAAAGTAGGGTGAACATAATGTAAGTTAAAAGGAAAGTATTCCTCCCAGTTTATTTTTTGGCGGGGAGACATGCCAATCTATGCCAGGATCTGTGCTCAGGGGTCAGTCCCGACAAGGATTTGGGACCCCATCTAAGTCTAGGAAGTCTCTAAAATATTTGCTATGGACTATTTGCTATTCAGTAACCAAGAAAACTGTTTTTCCTCCCAATAATACCTATAGTGATAATCTTTTATATTTGCTGCCAAATCAACGGGTCTCTGTGACAAAAACTGGTAGTCAGTTTCCTGTTCTTTAGTTCCTAAGTTCTAATTTTGTTTGAGTGACACTGTGTTCACCAAAATCAATCCTCTCATCCAACTTTCTGCCAGGAAAGTGAATATGGCAGCAGAAATTTCAACTGTGTGGATGGAAGACATATATAAGACATGGCAGAGAAGGGGGCAGGAACAATGGTAGAGGGTTTAAGAGGCATGTCTTGCATGTGGCTGGCCCTGAGTCCATCTCTGGTACCACACAGTTCCCCAAACATCTCCAGTGGCCCAGGTAATCCCTGGCATCTGGAACAATATCACATCCTTGGGTCTTTACATTGGGCCAATAGGCCTCATAATTGATAAGAGGGACCCCTGAGTGTGCTTGGGAGACTTTTCCCACCCAAAAGAGGTAGAGAAAAAATATAGTGTGCTTGGATAGTTAATAACTGTGGAGCGACCCTACATAGCTTGGGACTTCAGTGTGCCACAGAAAAAAAGCACCCATCTTGGTTAAGCTTTTGGTTTTTTTCTTCTTTTTTTATTAGTGAAACACCATGAGGTACAGTTATAGGCTTACAAATTTTGCGCTTGGGTTTCAGTTATACAATGATCAAGTGCCCATCCCTCCACCAGTGCCCGTCATCCATCACCACGGGTCCCAGCATCCCCCCCACCCCCCACCCCCATCCCCCCCCCACCCCCGTCCCATCCTGCCTCTGTGGCAGGGTATTCCCCCTTGTTCTCTCTCTCTTCTTTTGGGTACTGTGTTTTGCAAGAGAGGCATTGAGTGGTTAAGCTTTTGTAATTGCCAAAAAAAATAGTCTCAGATCATCTTCATTCAAATATAGGAGAAATTAACAAAAGTGACAGTTCCTCCTACATGGTAACTGTTGATTTATTTTCTTCTTCCCTACCTGACCACTGCAGAAGGATCAAGGTAGCAGCGACTCTCCAAGTCCCAGACAATCCTTTTCTTTGTGCACTCTGCCTGGTTCCTAAACTCCCCATCCTGTGCAATGAGATGGAGGCTGTTATTCTCTTACTGTGCCAGGGTATCATCTTGCTTGATCTCTCAAGCATTCTTTTAATGAATCACATTAAACAACTTTTATGAGTACTATGATTAGTACTATAACTATACTATAATTACTATCACCATTTAAAATTTTACGGTAATTTACTTAATCATAAATAAAGTACCTGGCAAATTACCTGAATAATTTTTTTTTTTTTAGTGAAACACCATGAGGTACAGTTGTAGACTTACAAACTTTCGTGCTTGGGTTTCAGTTATACAATGATCGAGTACCCATCCCTCCAAAAGTGCCCATTCTCCACCACCAATGATCCTAGTAGCCCTCCCAACCCCACAGCCCATCCCCCCACCCCATCTCTGGGCATTCCCTTTTGCTCACTCTTTCCTTTAAGGTGTTGTAGTTTGCAATAGAGGTTTTGAGTGGCCATTGTGTTCGGTCTATAGTCTACTTTCAGCATGCATCTTGCATCCCGACCGAGTCCTCCAAACATCCTTTACTTGGTGTTCCCTTCTCTATCTGAGCTGCCTTTTCCCCCAGCATGTGAGGCTGGCTTCCAAGCCCTGGAGCAGACCTCCTGGTACTTATCTCAATTATTTTTGGGTGTTCGACTCCCATTCTGTTACTTTATATTCCCCAGATTACCTGCATAATTCTTATATAAATCTTGTCAAATATAGGTTGCCAAATTTGCCCTTGGGGGCTGCAGACATAGTACAGCAGGTAGTACACCTTGCACACAGCTGACCTGAATTCAATCCCTGGCATCTCCATATGGTACCCTGAGCACAACCAGAAGTAATTTCTGGAGGGTTTCGGTGTTATCTTTCTCAGTGCTATTTTAGGAAAATTAATATTATGTGTATAAAGATCATTGAACTTTGGAAATTTGCTTGTTTGCGGCCCCCCCTATATATCAGGCCTACTAGGAATTAGGAAGAGAGTTAGAATCAAGCTAGGGTTAGGGTTAGGGATGTGGAGGGTTTAGGTGGAAAGTAATGGTGTTTTCCAAGATAGAAAAGGAAGTGAATTGTTTTGTGATTGTTAGCTTTGGGTCAGCTGGTAGGACTGTGCCTATTCTAGCTTCCCCTTTCTTTGAAAGACAGGAATACTCTGGTACAAGATTTGCAGCTAGGTTTCTGGAGATTTTGAGTGTCAATTTTTTTCTTGCCCCGCCCCCAAATATCAGGCCTACTAGGAGTTAGGGTTAGGGTTAGAATCAGGACTGTGGGTTACAAAAAACTAGGGATTTATAGATGATAGTATTAGTGCTTTCCAAGAGACACATGGAACAAAAGACAAAAAAAGTAAAATAAAAAGTAAATTTAAATTCAATTATTAAATTTGTTGTATTTCAGATGTAGGCAGACTTTTTTTTATCAGAATTAGATAACTGTGTATTTTGACATATTCATTCTATTTTCACCAATGACAGGCATATATAAATTACAGTAATTCATGAGACATTTTCTCATCACTCAGTTAACTAAGTTCATCACGATAATTGTCATAATTCTCTCACCTCAGGGCGGTTGAGTTCTCCTTCTTCTTCCTCATACCGACCACCAACAATGAAGGCATCGGGGATGTAATTAGCTCCCGGGGCCAGAATGTTGGCAATTGGCCACTTTTTGGGCCGGGGAACAGGTTCTTTTTCACCTCCTTGCTTCAGTGTTCCATTCTTGAATAAAATGGGATAATCTTTCTACAGAAATAAGTATCACATATCAGGAAATTTCATAAAGACTGGGTGATTAGATCAGTTACTGAAATGTCTTTTCAAAGAAGCACTGGATTGAATCCAATAGATCCTGTGGCTTTTATTGTTTGTGCCATTTTATAAGTTTGTGATCAATAATTATCCTCTCCCTGAGATATGCAAATAGATTCTGTCCAGGGGTGATGTAATTGACTATTGCCCTGAAACTGAAGAGCAAGGTTTAAATTACTAGCAAATGCATTTCAACATTCCAGATGTTATTTCTTCAGATTTCCGCCCTGAAGCCCCTCACCCAGCTTGCTTTAGCTGCTGCTGCAGTGCTAAGGAGCTGGGCATCACATTGGCAGAGTTGGGGACCACCTTTTGCATTGGGGTGGTGCATGAAGGGTATCAAACTCTCACCTTCACAAGTGTGTCACAGCCACACCCCACAGAGCCACACCCCAAGGCCCCAGCTTCTCCTAGGAACTGAATTTATATTTTACTAATTCCCTCACTGATTAGTTCAATTAAGTCCTTGACAGAAACAGGGACACTCCACACTGAACTTGGGAAATATGATGGGAACAGGCAGGAGTATTTACTAATGAAATACTTTTAGAGAACAACTTGGAAATCTTCATCAAGAGTCACATAAGACTCATAATCAATCTTTCTAAAGAAATTTGGACCAAGAAAATAACTTAGAATAAAGGGAAATTTCTGTAAAAGTATATATCCTCCCAAATTAAAAAAAGTGATAGGGGCTGGAGCAACAGTATAGTAGGTAGGGTGTTTGCCTTGCATGCTGCTGACCAGGGTTCAATCCGCAATGGCTTATATGGTCTCATATATATACATACATATGTATATATGTATACATGTATATACATATATAAAATCTATGTCAAAATCAATAAATTTGACCAACTTTGCAAAGTTTCCTATTTTCCTCATTATTTATTGATATCAATTGCGGCAGAGCCTGACAAGCTACCTGTGGCATACTCGATCTGTCAAAAACAGTAACAATGAACGGTCCTCATTCCCCTGACCCTGAAGGAGTCCCCAATATGTCATCAGGCTACACTTGCACATGACAGGGACGAATGGAGACATTACTAGGTCCGCTCGAGTGAATTGAAGAACAACGGAGTGATAGTGATAGTGATAGTGATTGATTACAGGACATAGTGTATATAATAAACTACCAACATAAACATCTCTATAAAAAATAGATATAAACTTAGTGGGTTTTTTTTGTTTCTGTGTTTTGGGGCCATACCCAGTGATGCTCAGGGGTTACTCCTATCTCTGAATTCAGCCTTACCCACTGTACTATCTCTATGGCCCATAATGTTTTGAATGCTAAAATACATTTCATGCGGGCCACTGCTGCTGAAAATTGTGGAAGCACCCACGGGAGGCAGGTGGCCAAATACCCGCCAAACCAAGGCTGGGGCAGCAGCACCCTCTCCCCACACTGCAACTACACCAGGGCTCAACTCCACTGCCTCTCCAATATGCTCTGCGAAGGCACCAATCTCCGACTCATCTCGGGTACCTGAGCCCGGCTGAGAACTCTGCGTTTTTTATCTGGGTCGGGGTGGGTAGCCTCGCTCTCCCCATACTTCCAGATGCCCCGCTGCCCACCACCACGTCTGCCGCCTGTCGACTCTGGCCCAGACCATATAGATCTGGAAGTGTCGTGATCGCACCACACCTCCTGAAGCAGCAAAAGCTTAAACTCTTAGACACGCTTTGCCAACCCTGCAATCTGATGCAACAACGTTCACATAAAATTATTTTCTAGGTCTATCGTTAATAATATTGGAACTTTGTTATCTCATCAATTTTAATCCTAGAATTGTATCGTTGCCGCTTTTTTCTACACTAAATTTAAAAAAATTAAAAGTTAAAAAAATACATTTCAAGCATTCACATAGCTTGTTCTGAATGAAGTGATAGCAGGCAGAAAGGGCCAGTAACAGCGTGCGCGTGTATAGAGGATAGGACCACAGAACTTCACCTCTCCGGCCGATGGAACCTGCAGACCGCCCATGTAGTTCTGCAGAGGTCCGGTGGGAAGAAAGGACTCGGGCACCGCGTAGGCGGCCTCCAGCGTGACCTTCAGAAGATTGCCCCCCGAGATCTGCGCCGCGGTCAGCAAGGGCTCGGCCACAAACACTTTGACTTCAAGACTGCACGACTAGAAGAAAATCAAATTAGTGCTTTGAAAATGCCAGGAACTCCCTCCCCCATCCCCCGCCCCCATTATCAAGTCTGAATTTCATATCATGGCAAGGTGAGGTTAAGACTGATTGTTTCCATCTAAAGGACTCTTAATAAGTCTCTTTGTGTTCAGGACAGATCCAAGAGCGGAACCGTATCCCAGAACTAGAGCCTCGCTTCAGCAATACTGAGTCAGTTTGCACACAGAGAGTCTGGGAGAGGAACGGAAAGCTCTGCCTTGAAACACGAACACAGGTCCCACCTGCGGGAGTGAGTTGGAGTGTTTTTTTTTGTGGGAGCTCATATTTTGTTATTTGTGCCATTATAAATTTAGGGCTTTAAAATTAGATTTTTAATTAAATATTTGAAAATGTACTGCTTGATGGGCTGGAGCAATAGCACAGTGGTAGGGCATTTACCTTGCAGGTGGTGGACTTGACCAACCCAGATTCGATTCCTCCACCCCTCTTCCAGAGCCTGGCAAGCTATCCAGAGTATCTCGCTTGCATGGCAAAGCCTGGCAAGCTACCTGTGACATATTCAATATGCCAAACACAGTAACAACAAGTCTCATAACAGAGACGTTACTGTGCCCGCTCGAGCGAATCGGGAGGACTGTGCTACCCTATTGCTTGATATATTTCTGTTTTTTCCCAGTATGGGAAAGCCTGTTTTATTTTGACAGCATTATGGGGCCAAGAATGTGATGTTAGTAACATATTTAAGTCACTGTCACTGTCCTCCCATTGTTCACCGATTTGCTGGAGCAGGCCCAGTAATGTCTCCATTATGACAATTGTTACTGTGTTTGGCATATCGAATCCGTCACGGGGAGCTTTCCAGGCTTTGCTGTGCAGGCAAGATACTCTTGGTAGCTTGCCGTGCTCTCCGAGAGGGTCAGAGGAATCGAACTTGGGTTGGCCATGTTGGCCGCCTGCAAAGCAAACACCCTACCTGCTGTGCTATTGCTCCAGCCCAACATATTTAAGTAAGGTAAAGGTAAGAGGTAAAGGCCCTCCCGTTGATCGTCGATTTGCTCGAGCGGGCCCAGTAACGTCTCCATTGGAGACTTTGTTGTTACTGTGTCTGGCATATCGAATACTCTCGGTAGCTTGCCGGGCTCTCCGAGAGGGGCGGAGGAATCGAACTCGGGTCGGCCATGTTGGCCGCTTGTAAGGCGAACGCCCTACCGCTGTAGAGCAGCCAAATCTAAAGTATAAGAGGTTATTTTCATTGTCACTTTTTTCTTAAGAAGCTAAACACCACTAAGGACAAAAGATATTATTGTTAAATATTAGTAACCTAGTAACAAAAAATTAATTCCCAAATTGTGTCTCCAATAACATTTTGGGTGTGGAAAATGCAGTGTTTTAAGTAAGAAAATACTTTCAAAAGGAATGCTTATGCCCATTTATACAGAGAGATTTGTGTTTTTAACCTCTGACATTTTCACACAGGATTCAGTGAAATGTGGGTTTAAAACTTATACTGATGGGGGCCAGAAAGATATAGAGCAGGGACGGCACTTGCCTTGCATCTTGTTAAACCAAGTTTTGATCCCCAGCATCCTGTATGGTCCCCAAAACCTTATCTGGAGTGATCCCTGAGCACAGAGCCAGAAGCAAGCCCAGAGTACTGCTTGGTGTACTCCCCCCCCCTCCAAAAAATGTATACAGATAATTGTTATGTCAGGTACTTATTATAACACTAGGAACATAAAGATTAAAAGATGGCACTTTAATTACAGTATTCATACAATAATTCATGATTAGAGGGCCTTACAACAGGTAAGGCATGTGTTTTGCATGTGGCCAACCCAGGTTCGATCCCTGGCATCCCCTATAGTCCACTGTGCACTGCCAGGAATGATTCCTGAGTGCAGAGATAGGAGTAAGTCTTGAGCATCACCAGGTGTGACCCAAAACAAACAAATTCATGATTAATCATCCATGGTTACTAGGGATAGGGAACTGTACGAGATGCTCTAATAAAGGAGGGGCAAATATTTAAATACTGGAGAGGGGAGAAGCAAGCATGGTGACGTGAGTAGACTCCGTTGTCTGTGATGCTGGGGATGGACCCAGGTCTTCAAACAGGGGTCGCCTACCGCAGCCCAAAACAAGGGTTACAAGGAAAGTAAAAAGTTACAATCTGGGTAAATACTAAAAAAGAAAGAGAAGATAATTCTGACCAAAATAAAGAATCTATTGTAAAGGGATTACATGGTATGATAACATTCAGCTCACACATAAGAGATTCAGAATTTTCAAACAAAGAACAAGGAGGGGGTTGCTGAGAGAGGAGGAAGAATAGGTGTCAGGTTATTAAAAATGCTGCTGCAAGAAATTTGGATCATATCTGAAGTAGTGGGAAAATCTGTGATCCTCACTGTGCTAGCAGGGAAAGAGATGTGCTCAGATTCCCTCTAAGTCACTCAGCAAACAGAGAAAAGGCTGAACAGAGGCAACTGAGGAATGGACATTTCCAAGGCTACTTGCAAATAATGTAGAAATAAAGTTAATAAAGAGTTCATATACTTCAGGGTTGGAGTGATGGTACAGTGGGGAAGGTGTTCGCCTTGCATGCAGCTGACCTGGTTTTGATCCCTGGTCCCCTGAGCACCGCCAGGAGTGATTCTTGGGTACAGAGACAGGAAACCCCTGAGCACTGCCCCAAGTGTGACTCCCCAAAAGCCAAAAAAATATAAGTTCATATACTTTGGTGGTACTTGCATGATAACATTTACGGTGAAGAAACCTGAAACTGTAAGTCTAAAGCATAATAAAGTCATAAAATTTACTGGCATCAAGATAAAAATATCAAATGATAATGTGACAATCCAATATCAAAAATATGATTCATAAATAAAAGAGCACATTGTATTATTTTATTTTATTTTTTAAATTTTTATTAGTGAGACATCATGAGGTACAGTTGTAGACTTACAAATTTTTGTGCTTGGGTTTTAATTATACAATGATCAAATACCCATCCCTCCACCAGTGCCCATTTCCCATCACCATGGATTCCAGTATCCCTCCCACCCCCATCCCCCCATGCCACCCTGCCTCTGTGGCAGGGCATTCCCTTTCATTCTCTCTCTCTTATTGGGTGTTGTGGTTTGCAAAAGAGACAATGGGTGACAATCATGTTTGGTCTATAGTCTACTTTCAGCATGCTTCTCCCATCCTGGGAGGATCATCCCAACACCCTTTATTTGGTTCTCCCTTCTCTATCTGAGCTCCCTTTTCCCCTAGCATGTGTGGCTGGCCTCCAAGCCATGGAGTAAAATTCCTGGTACTAATCTCGGCCATTCTTGGGTGTTAGTCTCCTATTTTGTTGCTTTATGTTCCCCAGATGAATGCAATCTTTCTATGTCTATCCCTTTCTTTCTGACTCATTTCACTTAACATGATACTTTCCATGTAGTACCACTTGTATGTAAATTTCATGACTTCATCTTTTCTAATAGCTACATAGTACTCCATTGTGTAAATGTACCAAAGTTTCTTTAACCAGTACTCTGTTCTCGGGCACTCAGGTTTTTTTTCAGATTCTGGCTATTGTAAAGAGTGCTTCAATGAACAAACAAGTGCAGATGTCACTTCGGCTATACTTTTTTGCCTCTCTGGGATATATTCCCAGGAGTGGTATTGCTGGGTCAAATGGAGTTCAATTTCTAATTTTTTGAGAACCGTCTATACTGTTTTCCAAAAGGGCTGAACCAGTCGGCATTCCCACCAGCAGTGAAGGAGGGTCCCTTTCTCGCCACATCCACACCAGCACCGGTTGCTTTTGTTCTTGTGGATGTGAGCCAGTCTCTGTGGTGTGAAATGATATCTCACTGTGGTTTTAATCTGCATCTCCCTGATCATTAATGATGTGGAGCATTTTCTCGTGTGCCTTTTAGCCATTCGGATCTCTTCTTTGAGAAAGTTTCTATTCATTTCATCGCCCCATTTTTTGATAGGGTTGGATGTTTTCTTCTTGTGGAATTCAACCAGTACTTTGTATATCCTTGATATCAACCCCTTGTCAGATGTGTATTTGGCGAATATCCTTTCCCATTCTGTAGACTGTCTTTGTATTTTGGTCACTGTTTCTTTTGAGGTGCAGAAGCTTTTTAGTTTAAGATAGTCCCATTTGTCTATCTCTGTTTTCACTTGCTTGGCCAGCGGCTGGACATCTTTGAAGATACCATTAGCTTCAGTATCATGGAGAGTTTTGCCAACTTTTTCCTCATGTACTTTATGGATTCCGGTCTGATGTTGAGGTCTTTAATCCACTTTGATCTTACCTTTGTACATGGCATTAGGCAGAGATCTGAGCCCACTTTTTTTGCATGTAGTCCAGTTTTGCCAGCACAATTTGTTAAAGAGGCTTACCTTGCTCCACTTCACTTTTCTTGCCCCCTTATCAAAGATTAGATGCTCATATGCTTGGGGGGAGATGTCAGTATATTCAACCCTGTTCCATTGTTCTACAGCTCTGCCTTTGTTCCAGAACCATGCTGTTTTAATTATTACTGCTTTGTTGTAGAGTTTGAAGTTAGGGAGGTTGATTCCTCCCATTTTCTTTTTCCCAAGAATTGCTTTAGCTATTCGTGGGGGCTTATTGTTCCATATAAATTTCAGGAGTGTTTGCTCCATTTCTTTGAAGAATGTCATGGGTATCCTAATAGGGAACACGTTGAATTTATACAGTGCTTTGGGAAGTATTGCCATTTTGACAATGTTAATTCTCCCGATCCATGAACAGGGGATATTTTTCCATTTCCTTGTGTCCTCTTTTATTTCCTGAAGTAGCGTTTTGTAGTTTTCTTTGTACAGGTCCCTTACTTCCTTAGTTAAGGTGATTCCTAGCTACTTGATTTTCTGGGGCACAATTGTGAACGAGATTGTTTTCTTCATGTCACTTTCTTCTCTTTCATTATTTGCATATAGGAAAGCCATGGACTTTTGGGTATTGATTTTATAG